TGATGATGATGATGATGACGTTGATGACGATTATGTCGGTGATGCTGATGACGTTGATTGTGATATCGATAGTGATATCGAGAGTGATTTCGATAGTGAGACCGGGTGTGAGATAGATTGTGAGATCGATAGTGATATCGATAGTGAGATCGATGGTGAGATCGATAGTGATATCGATTGTGAGATCGATCGAGTGAAATAGATCGAGTGATGTCGATTGTGAGATCGACCGACTGAAATCGATCAAGCGAGACCGAGAGTGAGACCGATAGTAATATCGATCGCAAGACCGATCGAGTGAGACGTTGGGTCTTCCCCGCTGAACTTCCTTATCACCCGAAGGGTGGTCGTATAGGTATGTATGTTTATATATATATATATATGTATGTATGTTTACATATAGACATATATATATATATATATATTTATGTTTATATATATACATATATACCTATTCTTATATTGATATCCGGAACCCCCCACCCCACCCTCCCAACCCTAAACTGGACCACCACCACCCAGGACACCCCAGACGCCCCTGCCCTCCACCCAACGAACGCCCTGGACGCCCTTTCTGAGTCCCAGCAGCCTTCCGGGCAGTTGGACGCCCCTTCCGATCGGAGCCCACGGGCCCAAAACGGGCCCCAAGACGGCCCATCAGCGCTCAAAGAGGACCCACTATGGTTTCAAAACGGCCCACGAGGCCCGCAAGACGGTCCAAGAGGCGCCAACAGGGACCCCCAAGAGCCAAAAATCGTCCCATTCCTTCGGGAAGCGTACGCTTTTTAAGATATTAGTTTTTTCCGTTTTCACAGCGTCCACGGCATCTCCAGAGACTTTCAATATCGCCCCAGGACGGCCTCCGAGGCACCTATGAGCGGCCCAAGGCGGCCCACAAGAGCTCCAAGACGGATCAAGAGAAGCCCAAGACCCAAGAGGGGCCCCAGAGGGCCCCGAGATCTCCCAGGAGAGCCCCAAGAGAGCCACAGGAGGCCCCCAAGAGTGTCCCAAGAAGGCCCCCGAAAAGCCCCTGGCCGGCCCGGCCTCCCAAAACGGCCAAAGGAGGGTTCTGGGACGGCCCAAGAGGACTCCAAGACGGCCCAAAACAGCCCCAAAAGGAGTCCTCTGGTCCAGAGAGTCACCAGGAACTCAAACGCGAGCCCACACCGTTCCAATATAGATTTCAGCAGTTCCTTTACACTCCACGAGGCCGTAGTTCGCAGGACGGTGGTTCGAAAGGACCTCAGAAGCCCCACAAGCGTCCAGGACCCCTCCAGGCATTCAGGAAGCGACCAATCGTCGTCGCCGCCGCCGCCGTCGTCGTCGTCGTCGTCGTCGTCCTACGGAGGAGCAGGAGGTCTCGGCCTGTCATCGCGGGTCTGCCGCTTCATTATTGCGTAGCCCGCTTACTGACGCCCCGAGCGCTCGCTCCCGCGGCCTGCCCGAGAGGAGGAGCAGGAGGAGCAGGAGGAGGAGGACGGCGACGACGACGACGAGGAAGGGCCAAGTTTCTGAGCGCTTCTGGTTCCATCGGGAGCTTCCAGATGCCCTCGAGAGACGAGCGCCCCATCTGCAGTTCAGACGAGGGCCCCATCGTCGTCGTCGTCGTCGTCGTCGTTGTCGTCGGCATCGTCGTCGTCCTCGTCGTCGTCGTCGTGGCGGTGGTTGTGGTGCTGGTGGTGCTGGTGGTGGTGGTAGTCCTCATGATCGTGGTCGTATTCGTGGTCTCGACGCCCCCTCTGCTGAAGCACGCGATGAGTTATTGCTTTTCCGAGAAGCGTCTGGAACAAGGCGCACGGCGCGAAGCGCCAATGCAGTTTTGTCCCTCTCTCTCTCTCTTTCTGTCTCTCTCTCTCTCTCTCTCTCTATATATATATGTATAGATCGATGCAATACGACGACGACACGACGACGCCGCTGGCGGCGGCGACGACGACGATGGCGTCGGCGACGACGAGCGGCGGCGGCGTTGGCGTTGGCAGCGGCGGCGGCGGCGGCGACGACGGCGACGACGACCACGGCGACGATGACGACGATTCCAGACCTGTCCTGAGACGCGTCCACTCAGAATTTCGAGGCGGAACCCCCTGGAGCGGCGGAGGCGGAGGGCGCGGAGATAGCGGAAAACGTTCGGGTTTATATTGTTTGGTCTTCATGGGTTCATGCGTCTCATGGTTTGCATTGGCAGTGCTTTCGCAGTTTTTTGGCATGACAGAAAATCCTAAGTGACTCACTTGATGCGCCGTGGGTGGCATTTTACACATCCGCGCATAACTCTGAGGGCTGCTCATCTGCAGACTCCGAGCCTCAAGAGTGTATGATACGCGAACGCGGGCGGACAGAAATACTACATCAATCATCGCACTACATACTCGTATTCATGGTTTCCCATCCTCAGTCCCATTCACCCGCTTTCATCCTCCCCCACAATTCTCTAGAAGGCTGGCAACAATGGACTCGAAATTCAGGCGCTCCTACATCGTGTTGTTATTCGCTGCAAAGTGCTCGGAGGCCTCACGAAGATGACTCAAGATCTTGCCCCAAAGTGCACTTTGTATGGTTTTTTGACAGGGATGGTGTGGGGGGGCCGCATCGGGTTGGCCGCGCATGCTCCAAATATGGAGGCAGAGGTCCGAGTGCAGCCGCAGGCATGGGTCCGAGTTCAGCCGGGTGAGTTCAGCCGGGTCCGAGATCAGCCGCGTCCGAGATCAGCCAGGTCCGAGGTCAGCCGGATCCGAGATCATCCCCATCCCCTTGCGGTGTTCTCGGCAGAAGCTTCACGCCGCAGTCAGAATGGTTGGGTCCGAGTTCAGCCGGGTCCGAGATCAGCCAGGTCCGAGTTCAGCCAGGTCCGATTTCAGCCAGGTTTGGGATCAGCAGGGTCCTAGTTCAACTGGGTCAGAGTTCAACGGGTGCAGCTGGGTCCGAGTTCAGCTGGGTCCGAGTTCAGCCGGGTCCGAGTTCAGCCGGGTTCGAGATGAGCTCCTTCGCGTGGAACCCCTTGCGGGCCACGATCCGTGTGAGAGGTGCCGAAGTAAGCGGGGCGACGCTAAGAAGCTTCACACTCTGCTGCCGCAAATGCAGCTATTTGCGGGGCGCGATCCGCGTGAGGGGCGTGCCACTATGCGAACCTTGCCTCTGGGGACGTAGGTGGAGCTCCCTGGGCGCGATCCCTGTGAGGGGTGTGCCGACACGGGCGGGGGGTCGCTAGCCAAGCCTGTCTCTGGGCTCAGTGGGCCTTGGAAACGGCAGGGCCGATTCTCCACCGCTTCCGAAAATGACAAATGGAAACGGTAAAGAAACGGCAGCCAGAAACAGCAAAGAAACGGCAATGGAAACGATCAAGAAACGGGAATGGAAACGGCATTCGGCGAGGGCGGAAACGACAAGATAATTGCGAACAGCAACGGCCCAGAAACGGCAACCGGCTGTGTAGTTTCAACGGCACGGACTCCTTGGCAGAAGTGGAATTGTGAACAAAAACGGTTGCCGGAAACGGCAAAGAAACGGCATCGGATACCAGCCGGAAGCGGCGATGGAAACGACAAAGAAACGGCAACGGAAACGGCAAAGGAACGGCGCCAGAAACGGTAAAGAAACGGAAAAGCAGGAATGGTAAATCAACGGCCTTGTCGCTTCCAGGGCTCATTGAGTCTCTGGGGCCGCAGGCGGAGCTACTTGAGGGTACGACCTGTGCGACAATATATGTCCTCCAATACCGCACACTTGAGACTCCACTCGAGCCTGCTAGAACCTAAGCGCGCGATGCGCGCGCGTGGTTCTAGTACACATCTATACATAGATAGATGTGCATTTAACTGTGCATTATATATATGTATACATATATATGTATATAGTCTGGTTGTTCGCTTGGAGCTGTGCTATTGGTCATGCTTACTCGCTGGATTTCTGTCACTGGTGTGGCGGCGGCATGCTGCTTGCACCAAATGTACGAACGACTTGGCCGCGTGTACCACATGTGCTGCCGCTCTGGGAAGGATTCATGGATGCCTTGGGCGAGATCAGAGCAAGTACGTGCTTGTCTGAGCAGCAATGGGATGCAGCTGGTTCAAGTTTGTTCCTGGCGAAGAGGTGACCACGCCATGGCCCCTACTCGCAGTTCACCGTAGGGGGCCGTGCTCACTACCACGATAACCAGCCGTTGCCTTTCCTTTCATCTTCATTACCACGATCGTCCGTCATAACGTTCATCTTCACCTTGACCATAATCATGGTCACTCTCGTCTACGCCCCGCGGCACTCATGGCCCCGCTTCGCGACATTCTTGGCCCCGCTCCGCTGCAATATGTGCGCAACGCGGTTCGCAGTGGCACTTGTTTCATGCCATGTGGGGTAGGTTTCATGTGTGCATTAGCCGTGCTTCCATTCTCTAGCCGTGCAGTGTGTCAGATTTTATTTGCCTTTCACACAGTATGACCGCAGTACTACCGAGAGAAACACCGGACGATGTACGCAAAGCTAGCCTCAAGGAAGGCCCGAGGTGGCCCCAAGGGGGTCCTTGATTGGCCAACATTCATCACGAAGGTCATGATCTTCATTTATGTTTTCTTGTCGCCGCTTCGCTACCGACGAGCTCTTGCAGCCACAAGATGGAATCACTATGTCTAGTATATATAGATGGCGGCACTAAGATTGCATCACGTCTCGATGTGCCACGCTTTGCCCTTGCTGTACCGTCCAATGTCATCGTCCCGTAACCATCGCGGTGCAAGCATGCGGGTGGTCTCAAGCCCGAAACGTCGAAACACACTTAGACAAAAGGGGGCTTAGACTATTGAGGAGATAATGAAGGATGTATTTAGAAGAGGGATCAGGGAGAGGAGGGAGGAGGAGAAGCAGTAAGATAAGCTGTTCATCCACCACCACCCACCCTCTTGTCTCATCCTACTCCCTCTTATCCTCTACCGCCTCCTCGTGCGTCCCCCCCTCCCCACGCCCCCCCCCGCTCTTGTGCGCCAACTGACAGTCGCTTCCGCTAGGTGCGAGGAGTCGCTCATGCAGCTGCTCGCCGGGCCGAGCACCCCATGCGGATTCGAGAAGCTGCACGCAGTGATGTTGTTCGGCGGCCTCTGTCTCACGCTGGTCGGCCCTGTGTAGGAAGCGGAAGAGCACGAGAAAGAGGAGGAGGAACAGGATGGGGAGGTTAGTAATGAAATGGGATGTGGAAAGACGTGGTAGGGAGATGGGATACCTATGGAAGAGGGGGGAGCGTGTTGAGGAAGAGGAGAGGACCAGAGTAAACCCGTTGTGCATCAACGATGCTGCAATGCACCATCCCGTCCCAAGTCTTAACCTCGTAAGTCCTTACAAGGTTCCCTTGTCTCTCTACGGGAAGCACCCTAGATCGCGAGAGCCCCGTAGATTTGCCATTCAGGCGAGAAAGAGAGAGAGAGAGAGACCCGTGGGGTCAGGAAGTCTTGAGCGAAACTCGTAGGCCGCCCTGCCGACACGCGCGGTGAAGCGTCGAGGAGTTACTCCCAAGGGGGATTGATTATGAGGATTTGTTTAGATTGCCATTTGGGAACATGTATGGGTAGCATTCGCCGTCACGGGCAATGTGTTAATTCAGTTGCGAGTCTTCCGCTCGATTGGTTCTTTCCACATGCACATGCCCTACAAGAAAAAAATGTTCGAATCCAGGCCGTGGACCCGTTGTACACGTCAGGTGAGTGCCTTTGTGCGCTGTGCTTTGGTTCGTGCAAGCTGGTCGCACAACACAGGCTGGGTCCTCGCCGAAAAAGCCCGGCCACGATGTGTTCCAGGAAAGTTCCAGGGGTCGATTCTGAGGGAGGGAGGAGGTGGGGGAGGAGGAACGCTGTCAATGGTAGTGCGACTCCTCCTCCCAAGCCCCATCGGTCAGGGAGGAAGAGGAGGTTGAGGAGCAGGAAGAGGAGGAGCTCGTGGGCGAGGGCAACGAGAGTGGAGACAACGGCTCGATGCCAGCGCCCCCGCGCTGTCGAAGCTGAAGGGTGTGGCCAGGCAGCCCGCGCAGGTGGAGGATGGAACGGGAGAGGGAGAGAGCAGGAGGGAGGAGTGGGAGGTTCGGTGAAGGATTTCTGCGTTTTCGACGACTGAGAGTCCGTTTCGAGCCCCAGGACCTTCAGAATTCGATCTGGGATTGGGATCTAGCCAAAACGTATTGTGAAGGTCTTACGGCCGGTGCCGCCGACCCTGAAGGTTTTGGCCGTCGATGGCGACGGGATGTGTGATCACATACAGGAGCTAAAGGACAACGTGACAGGGTAGGCGGAGGAAGTGTGTCAGGAGGAGGAGGAGGAGGAGCAGGAGGAGGAGGAGGAGGAGGGGGAGACAAACGAAAAGGAGATTGAGAAGGTGGCAAAAGACGCTCAGGAAGAGGAGGAGGAAGTTGGTGTTCTGACCTGGGACCCCCCCCAGGACCCCCCCCCGGGCCCTCCCCAGGACCCCCCCCGCGGGACCCCCCCCAGGACCCCCCCCCGGGCTTCCCCCGGGACCCCTAACGAGGAGGAAGGTGGTATTTTGACTTGGGAACCCCCCCAGGACCCCTCCCGGGTGTCCCCCCTGGGAGGTTCGGTGAAGGATTTTTGCGTTTTCGACGACTTGAGAGGCAGTTTCGAGCCCCAGGACCTCCAGAATTCGATCTGGGATTGGGATCTAGCCAAAACGTACTTTGTGAGGGTTCCACGAACCGATGTTGACTGGATTTGGGAGGAGGACGGAAGGGGGCCAAAGCGCGGGGAATGAAGGGGGACCAGGAGGGTGCGAGGCAGGGAGGAAGGCAGAGAGGGAGGCAGGGAGGGGGGCAGGGAAGAGAAGGGGGAGAGGAACGGAGGGAGGGAATGAGGGGAGGGGAGGGCACTGCGAGAGCTGGGGGATCGGAGGGCAGCGCGGTTGCGAGGTCAGGAGGAGAGCGCGGCCAGTGGGGATCACACCCTCGTCCTGGCCAGCAGCCCTCCCCTGGAGGTGGTGATGCTCTGTGCGTTCGCGTTCTTCCGTGAGGAGCGCCGTGTTGTTTTTGTTCATTTGCTCTGCTTGGTGTTGCTAGAAGTGGTCCTGGCACAGTGCGGCTTCTGTGGCTGTCAGGTGGCTGGAACGAGGCGCGCTATGTAAACGGGCCCCGAGGCTTCACACCTGCCTCGCAACGCCTCGGGCCAGATATACTTTGTCAGCACAGGAGTTTGGACCCCCCGCCCCTCCCTCCTCCTCTACCTTTCTTCGCCCCCCCCAGCCCACACGCGCACACCGCTGACCCCTCACCCCTCCCAACCTAGCCCTCAACCTTCTGCCACAGATTCACTCCCCTCAGCTCCCCTTCCGACCCTGATCCCCTTCCCCGTCCCGTCTCGTCTTGTCCAAAATCCCCTCCCTCCCTCCCTCCCTCCCTCCCCGACTCCAGTCCCCCCCCCTTGCCCCCTCTCCTCCTCATCCCCCCCCTCTTCTCCTCGCCACTCTCCTGGCCTCGCAGTCGTTTTCACGTGGCCAGTCTTGCCCCAGCCCGCCTTTGCGTCAGGGGAGCGCGACGGGCAGGATGAGGAGGAGGAGGAAGAGGAGGAGGAGGAGGAGAAGGAGGATGTGGAGGAGGAAGAAGAAAGCAGGAGGAAGGAAGAGCAGGAGTAGGAACAGACTGGGTGTTTCGAACATGGGGCCGCAGTTGTGGCGCCGAGTGGCTGGCTGTCGGATGCTCATGGGCCGTGGAAGTGGTGCGGGGTGTTGCCGTGCCGGCGGCAGGTTGTGAGGAATCGCTGAGACCTTCTGCTTCGCGACCACCGGTCCCAAGGTCGGTTAATTTTCGCTGTCGGTCCCAAGGTCGGCTATTTTAAACTTTCCTTGGGTGAGACATGCGCGCACGAAGGCGTCGTCCTGGAAGTCGTCGTGACGAGGTCGTCGAACAGGTGCACGGCGACGCAGAAGTCGTCGACACGGGCTCCTGGCATCGGTGGCGTCGGCGTCACACCGACATAGTAATATTATGTGTGCGTCGCCCAACCAGGGGCGACGCGCGCCGAGAAATGTTTTAGTACCCGAGTAGCTCCTTAAGAGAGTGAAATTGGGTTGTTAGAAAAAAGTTGGCTGGCAGGGCTAGGCCAACTCCTTTCCGCAGCTCCCGGTCAGGCATCCCCGCAGCGGTTTGCTTGAACTCGCAGCGTGTCCCGAGAAGTGTTTTCCTACTCGTTCCCAGTACGCGTGCCCCGAAGCTATTCCGTGAGAGAAACGTCTCCCGCAAGCTTGCAAGCTCTCAAGGCATCCTTTCCGGGGTTCCTGCGAGCCTCTGTCTCTCGGGCGGAACCGAGCGGCCTGGGGGCTATGCCCCGGGTGTTCGGGCGGAACTGGACGGTGGACGGCCCGGAGGTTAGACCCCGGGTTCGGGCGGCTCCAGGATTGAAGCCCGGAACGGGTAGGAGAGGAGGGTGGGCGGTCCCGGGATTAAAACCCGGGGCGGGGTACGGGAGAGGGACGGGGTGCCCCGGGATGAGGACCCTGGGCGAACGGCCCTGGGATGAGACCCAGGAGGGGAAAAGGGCAGGAAGGAGAGGATAAAGAGAAACAAAGGGGACAGAAAACGGAGAGAAGACGAGGCGGGGAGGGTTGCGAGGACAGAGAAACGGGAGGAACAGAGGAGAGGCGCGCGCGCGAGAGTGGGGAGAGGGAGATAGAGACCGCGCGCCCCCGCCGCGCGCGCCTCCGGCTCAAGCAGGCGCCGCCCTCCCCATTTCCCCTTCCCCACCCACCCCGGGCGCGGGGGCCAAGCGGGCCGGGGGGGGGGGGGGCTGCGCCCACATTCGCTCCCAAGGTCTCCGGCAGCGCCGGAGGCTCTGGGAGAAGACGAACTTTTCTCGTACCTCGTAGAGCTCTTCGGCAAGATGAGCTAAGATGAATTCGGGCGCAGGAAGAAGCTAGTTGGCCGACCCGGCCAGAAAAGATACTATGTGTCAACTTGGGGCTCGTTTTTTGAACACTGTGAGAGATTTGGCAACTCGTGTGGGAAATCCGTATTTTCCTACCTACTTCCATACATGGCGCTCCCTCCTGTCTACTATTCCATTATTGTGAAGCAGTACTTCGATCGAAAGACGTGGAGGAACTTCTTTGTGAATGATCCATGTTTTGTGTCTGTTGGGTTTTGGGCCAAGATCTCGATATTTTGAGCAAGTGTAGAGACTTGATGTCCCCCGAGAACACAAGCAGCATCTAGAGCGTTAGTCTTCAGGACTGCGACGCCTGAGATCGGTCAGCTATTCGGCCGCGGGGGCGGCCGCGGCGGCCGCGGCCCCCGCGGCTGGCTCGCGGGCGTCGCGTTCCGGCAGCAACGCGACGCCCGCGAGCGCCATGGGCCGAGGGGGCGAGGGGGGCGAGAGAGAAGGGGCGAGGGGGGCGAGAAAGAAGGGCGCCAAGGCACCTGAGCCAGCGAACGAGCATAGAGCAGGAGAACAAATAACGGAGGACGCGGGCAAGGGGAGAAGGGCGCATGGAGGAGTCAGGGGAAGGAACGAAAAGGAGAGAGGAAGTGTGAGAAGGAGGAAGGGGGCCAACGAAGGGGGGGCGTCGAAAAGGAGACGGGGAGATGAGGGGGAAGGCGGAGGAGGGGGAAGAAAAGGCGAGAAAGGGAGGGTTAGCGGTTGAAAGGAAACGGGCGGGGAGAGCAACATTCTTGCATTGTCCCCTTTCTCGTCCTCTCGTCCTCCTACCCCTCGTCGTCATCCTCCCCCTCCTCGCCCCCCTCCTCGCCCTCCCCCCTTCCTGTCGCATTCAAAATAAAAACGCACGCGCCTAGACATTCCTCATCTTCTCGCACAAGGCCAAGGATGCGATTACAAACTTAGAACGGATGGATGGCTTGTAACATAAAGATACTAGAACGATGGTCCTCCGACGAACACTTGACGACTGATCCGGTGCCACTCAAACATACCCAAGCCTCCTCCCTTTCTCCTGGACTACGCCATCTGTCGGGTAGCCATATGGCTCCAGGGATGGGCCCCATAGGCCAGCGCGCGTCGCACACGTGGATATCATACCAGGGGCTCTGGAAAAGCTTCTGCGCGGATTTTGAATTTTGCTGTTGCTACAGCAGGCTTGTCGTCGTTGAAGCCTTCGTCTTCAATGGGCAGATCGTCGGACGGTGGCTCGGTGGAATCGGCGCTGCCGCTCCCCGCTTCAAAGCCGCCGCCAGGGGCTGCAGGTGGTAGGCTACGTGCGACCTGGTGGCAGGGCCTGTGCTGGAGCCGCGCTGCGCGCGTCCTGGTTACTTGGGGGGGGCGGGGCGCTTGGCCGCTCCATTCTGGGCAGGGCGTCGCGCGTCCCTGTGGCCCTGCAGGAGGGCCAGGGCCTGCCTCCCTCGTTGCACATCTGGCTGGCAGACCGCGCGCTGTCGATGTCGGCGACGGATCCCGGGGGCCCAGTCGTCAGATGCCCCGGCTGCGGGAGTAGTATTTAAGCACGGCGTCCCAGTCACCGTCGCCGTTGTCCCAGCCGTCGCGCAAGCTTCAGGAGTGTGATCTCCATCCACCCCGGGTACTGGGTCCTGGAAATCTGCAGTGGATTTGCCTCCCGTGAGTCCCCAGAGGTTGCCGCCGTGGCCGCATGTTCTCGAATCGGGCAGCCCATCCCCCCGCTGCTGCTCCACGCGCCGCCGGTGCTCTTCCCCAGTGAAATGGGCGTCTTCCAGGACGACCTCCCGACATAGCTCGCAGCACCACCCCCAGAAGCCCTCAAGGAGACCCAATCGCATCCAGGGAGCCTTGTTGCACTGAAACTTCGGTCTGCCGCCGGGGCCGGGCGGGGGCCCGTCGGGCTGGCACGGGCAGCACGAAAGCCACCGCTTGATGGGGCCTTTCGCCTGCGAGAGCGTGGCTGCACAGAGGGGCTGCGCTACCAGGTGCCCAGGTAATCCAAGTGCGGCAAACTGCCGCGCTGACTGGTGGGAAAGCTGCGCCGGGCACAAGGGGGGGCCTTGGCGGGCGGCGCGATCCCGATCGTCCCGAGTGGAAGGGGGCTGGCTAGGAGGTGGTTTCGGCACATCTGCGGATGCGGGAACCACTTCCCCGCCAAGGGTGGTTTCAGGGTGGTTTGGGCGCGGTGGGCGGCAGGTGAAGGTTTGCTTTCGTTGTTTAAGGGTGGTTTCGTCTCGGGGCGTCGGTTCTTGACTCTCCTGAGCACGCCGTTCGCGTGATACGTATCGGTTGCGTCGCGTCGAGACGATGAACACGAGCGCGCGTCGGCGGCAAGTCCACAACGATAAAGTGTTCCAGGTCTTACCTACGACGAACTTGCATGGGGCAATTGGTTCGCGGCTTCATATCGCCGCCGTCTCTGACACAACCAATAGATCACAAGCATGGTACAAGTTGCGGGCACCCTTGGCGGTTCGCTGTTAATCCTGGCGGCGCGCTCGCGTTGAGCGGTGATTGTTTCAATGTGGTGCGTCTTGCTCGGCTCAGACAGTGAACCCGCTGATCTCGTTGTCTGTTCAGTTGGGTGGTTCAGGTTGGGTGGTTTGGTATGTGAGCCCACGGGGGCGCCCTGGGCGCATGGTGCGTTGTCGGGCGGCCAGCCCTTCGAAAGGGTTGATGCAGTTACCATGTTTGCTAGCTCGGTTTATCTTGCGATCGAGCACAATGCGATGGTACACAGTAGGCGGCGATAGAGTAGAAACACACGTGGGAGGAGGGAGGGGGAGTTCAGGGAGGAGGGGGCGCGCAGGGGAGCAAGGGAGGATGAGGATAAGCCAGCAGAAGGAGGCAGGGAAGTTGAAGACGACGAGGGCGACGACGGGTGGTAGGCGACCAGGGGTGAGGACAGGGGAGGGGGCGCAAGTTGGGCGAAGCCAGGAACGGAGGAGGGAGGGCGAGGAGGGAGGAGGGAACGAGGGGGGGGGCGATGGGGGAGGACGAAGGAACGAAGGGACGTGGGGGACAAGGGGGGACGACGGAACGAAGGAACGCGGGGGACAAGGAGGACGACGGGGACGAGGAAATTGAGGACGAGGAGGGACGACGTCCTCAAGTTTTCCGAAGCGCCCACCTCTCCCCGAAATGTCGCTGCTACTCGTCGTCGCCCGCGTCGTTCCCCTCGTCCTTCCCCTGCTCATCCTGCGCCCCCTTCGCCCCCCCCCTCGTCGCCCGCCTCATCGTGCCCCTGCCCATTCCCCCCCCCATCGCGTTCCTCCCCCATCTCCTCCTCCGTTGCCCCCTTCATCGGGTCTTCCAGCGGCCCTCGACCCATGCC